CTGATGATACCAATCTTTATGTTATAGTTGAACATCCTAACACAGCAGCCACACTTCTTCAGCCTGACATCCAAAAAATATCTTTATGGGCAGAAAGGTGGTTAGTCACCTTCAATCCTTCAAAATCGGAATCCGTACTTGTAACCAGAAAGTGAAAGCGTCAGCATCACCCTTCATTGCATATGTTAACCAACAAATTCCAGAAGTTTCTGAACACAAACATTTAGGCATCTTTCTTTTTTCTGACTGCAAATGGCACAAACATATTGAATACATAACTGATAAAGCTTGGAAAAGGGTTAATATAATGCATAAACTGAAATTCTCTCTGGATCGTAAATCTTTGGAAATTATGTATATAGCATTCATTAGACCTATTTTGGAATATAGTGAAGTAATTTGGTGTAATTGTACCCAATATGAACTCGAACAGCTTGATAAGATTCAAAATGAATGTGCACGCATTGCAACTGGTGCAACCAAGCTTATTTCACTAGATACTCTGCAGAAAGAATTTAATTGGGAATCGTTATCCGAAAGAAGATATAAACACAAACTTATTATGTTTTACAATATGCAGTCGAACAAAACTCCAGATTATCTCTCATCATTAATACCAAATCCAGATCAATCCCGATACAGCTTACGAAACTCTGAAGATATCAGAGGAATTACATCAAGGACTACAATTCCACAATGTACCACAATTCGTTCTTGCCATCAGTTATTCGTGATTGGAACAACTTGCCTGTTATAATACGAAACAGCCCTACAATATCTTCATTTAAAACTTTCTTAAACAAGGACAGAAAATATACACCAAATATACAGGTAGTCGTAAACTGCAGGTCCTTCACACTCGGCTTCGAACGAACTGCAGCGCATTAAATCACCACCTGGTTTTGAAAAACATTTCTCCTACCCCTTTGTGTAATTGTGGGCAAATTGAAACTACCCAACATTTCTTTTATGAGTGCTGTGCATACGATGCCGTCCGCAGAACACTCCTCCTTAACTTGCAAGACTTCAGCACAAACCTTCATAAACTTCTCTATGGTAACCCATCTCTTACATACCAGGACAACGTTATTATATTTACAAATGTACAAAATTATATAGAAAAAACGAAAAGATTTACTTAGATCCATTCTTATTGAGACTATAATCCTTTCTCACCCTCTTTCTTCTCCTTTCCACTATTTTGTTTTCTTCTTTTACATATATTCTTACATTTTAGACATCTACTTGTAGTTAATCTATTCTATATAAGTTTATATATAAATATATATTTTTATGTGTGTATAATTAATACTTATTCCCTTGTCTAGTATATACTAACTATAAACTTATTTAAGACAAACCATATAGTTCGCCAAAGGAGAAGAATTCTATAAGACTTGTCTTTCATTCTCATCCTTTTCCATTGTGAAAAATGTTTTGTTTGTTATATATTTGTATGTACATTATATATACTTTCGGGAAAAAATATGTTTAAACTAAAACTAATTATCGATCATTCAGTTACGTGATGTGGACACAACAGTAATGTTTAAGCGTGGACACAACAGAAAAATCATCAGCAACAAAGTCTTCCCGCCAGCCTCCTTTGTCATGACAAAATCAATTATTATATTGTTGCAATTTGTCAAAATGTTTTACATGTTAGTAATATATGTAGATACACTAATGTCATTTTACGTTGCATATTATGGTGACCACATACACCTATGTGGCGGTTGTTTGTATGCGGTTTTATGTTACCCACCTACGTGTGGAGCCTGCATTATTTGAAAATGTCCATTTGATAACTGTTTTCCTATGCATATTTTACTTTCGTCATTTAAAAATAAAATTACATTTTCACGGCGGTTCTATGATACCCACCTATATGTGGAGCCTGCATTATTTGAAAATGTCCATTTGATGACTGTTTTCCTATGCAGATCAGCTGTAACATTTCGAACCCATTGAATGCAACATGCGCGTAATAAAATATTAAATCGCAGTGAAAACAAAACAGCCCTACGAATTAGTTTCATCATGTAGGGATCGTTAGTAGATTGTTTATTAAGTTCTGCAAAAACTATTGGAAATAGCTCCAAAATATTTATATGAAAGGACTGGAAATCCAAATTGATTTGTGTGCAATCCACTTTGAACCAAATATACCTGCACAATATATAGTGGATGCGGCATCGGTTAAAAAATTTACGGATTCGGAAGACAGCCAATTGTCATTTAAGAACATGCATCGGCCATTTAAAGTTTTCATTAATTTATCCCACATTTAAAGTCCGCTCTGGCTTCCTTAGTTAACCTAATATAAAAAGGTCATGACACACATATTGTCAATTCATAAAGTCGCCGTAAAAATGCACGAAATACAATATGTAGCGAAATTGAGCAAGCCTTAAAGAGATGTTTTTGCTCTAATGTTACTTTTTTGCAACATTTTTAAAGCTTTAAGCAGTTGGCATATCTTTATAACTTTATCCTGTGGTAGAGGAGCGGTCATATCCTTGGAATCTATTTCAATACCGTAAATGATAATACAAGAGGTAGGGATTGTGTTTTGTCCATTTGAATTGAAACATTTATCTCTTTACAAATCGTAAAAAAATATCAAGATTATTCTGACACAATGATGATTGCGAAGGACCTACAAAGAAAAAATCATCAAGAATTAAGATAATATGTGTATTATAGTTGTATTCCATTATCCATTGTAATACATTGCTAAAGCTGTTGAATAATTGACAAGTTATGTTTCAGCCCTATGCTAAATAAGCACCCATAATAAAGCTCTTTGACCATTATTATTCTAGGGACAGCCTAGAAAATGACGATCCGAGGGATGAATCGCAATAAGCCAAACATGCCCAATATGTTTTGGCCATTTAACAGTTGCGACCATACAATTATTAACTTTGCAACCATATCATCAACGCTATCATGTTGAACAGCTATGAATGCACTATCAATGCTTGAATTAATTGAATTTGGGTATGATAAGTTATGAATAAGTCGAAAAGTATTTTGTTCTTTTATTAGGGGATTAATGCTAAAGGAAATCTTATTAAATTAGGAGGTTAATAGAAAAACGGTCCCATGATTCTTCCCGCTTCAAGTTCCTCATTTATTTTAGCATGTACATCAGCTTTGTTTGAGAGAGCTGATGGATGGTTGCGTTCATTAAAATTAAATGTAGGATTGTTTTTAAGCTGGATATGGAAGCCAAATTGAAAACCTTGAATTAAAAATTGTTTTTCTTGTGAAGCATAACGTTGAAGATATACTTCTTATATTTTACTTCTTATTGGGGTTGTTACGAAAGGAATATTGTTCAATTACATTACTCTGTGATGGAGCTGCAGTGGAAGGAGGGTGAGACAGCTTTTGTGTTATGTTGACCAGTTTGTAGTGCGAAACAATTATAAATTTATATTTGTGCATCCCTTTCTTTTGTTATGAGCTTAAAAGCGTTCCTTGTGAAGATATCATCGTTTTGAGTGCGAAGAGGCAAAGAAGTCGCTTTAACCCAAAATTCGCAATAGATAGTAACCCATGGTATTTTTATCGACTTGTGAGCCAAAGGACCTGTTCTAGAAATTTCCCATACCCTCTTTCCAGATCTCTAATGGTATTCATTTAAGTAAAAAGGGGTGAGACATAAATGTCCATGTGAATGATAAATGCTTAAATCCAAGAATCTGTCGACATAGCTTTAGCTGATGACTTCGGCATCATGACGGTTGAGTTTTCAGCAGACTATGTAGTTCGACAAACTCATTACTCTATATTGTTTGTTTCATTTTGTCTGGAATGAGAGCGCCCGGTATTTAATTATAGGTTACCAATAAATTAATAAGAGTAATACCTGTATGGTTCACTCTTCCCGAAATAACTGATTCTGGAACAAGACTATTTGTATTCAAGGCGATGGCATTTGGTATGGTACATGTAGCAGGTTGTGTGGTATGAACATTTCGACTTCCGATAAATATTTCTTGTACTAGTGGTGCATTTGTGTGATTTACACTGTCAATTTCTCTTTGTATGTGTGGTGATTCAGTTTCAGTGGCGGAACCGGTGGTGCAAGACGTTGTATGTTGTTCTAAAATAGAGAAAATAAGAATCCCTAAAGAAAGCCCAAAACGACAAAATTGAAAATGTTGCAGGCTTTGGGAAGAATAAGAAGCAATGTAACAATATGCACTTTTTGTATAATTCTTTAAATACCAGTTCCCAAAGTAACTGTGATAACGGGGAAACTGAGAAAACGTTTAATTTCCACGTTCAGGGCCGTTCATAAACAGACTAATTCAAAACGAGCGTGCAACATTATCATTTTTAAGGATTCCGTTCTTTCTATTTTATCAAACCGGACTATCGAAGTCAAAGTCCTTCCAAAATATTCTTTATTGTTTTAATTGATGGCGTCAATCTATCAAGTTTTTTTAATCTTCAATTTACAAGTTCCAAGCCAAAATATTTGGACTGTTTAAAAGCAGTTTGGTTTGCATATTTACTGCAAATGCCAATCAACTTGCTTTAAGTTCTCTTTGTAGTACTATGTAAACCATCAAAACCATGTTTAAATTTACGACAGAAATTCAAAAAGCGCATGCATATTTGTTTCACTCGCTGCATGTACTACAAATAATTTTGAAAATCATAATACCAGTATTTGTTTCGGTAACGAGACATTGGTTGGCTTCCTCGCAGCCATGGTTGTGAAACAACTTTCAGTTTCCTGAGGAAATACCATTTTCCGTGAAAGTAAATTTCTTTTTCGAACTGAGCCATGGTTGTCTTAAATAATTATACAGAAACTGACGTCAGAGTTTTGTGGTTTTGCTACACTGATTACATAAAAGGTCGCATTAGTTTAAATAAGTAAAGGGCTTTTTTATTTCAAATATTCTATGTTATTTAATTCTATCAGTGCTATATGCATTCAAATTATCTTGAACCATTTCACGACTGCCTTTTGTTTTCAGATACAATGGAAATTATGAAGCACGGTTGCAAACAAAAGGACGGGTCAAAAAGCGGCCCAACTGTCAGTAGCTTTCAAGATGGTATGATACAAGTCAAAGAAGCTATAGAAAACTTCATGATTAAAGTATTCCGTAAAGACGTATTCGAAAAGTTCAAGGCGATTGAATTTACTGATTATTTGGACATGAAACATTGTATTGCAATTAAGCTCAGAAATGTTTCAAGTCATACTGAAAAGGTGCATCTCAGAATACCCACTTCGCTATTAGACATGTACAAAAATATTACCAAACAAGAATTTCAAGATGATTTATGTAAATTTCGAGAATTAGCAATGGTTCGTGATAAAATAAAAATACCTGCAAGCCAATTTATAGACCCTCTTGAAAAGGCAAAAATATGCGTACTGTCACATATAAAAGCAGAACTAGAAAATGAAAATATGAACAGTATCCTGGTGTTTGGCGAGTTTGCCCAAACCAAAGTTATACAGGAAGAAGTAAATTTGTTGCATCAAAATACAAAAGAAATAAGTGATGCAGACATTATGTCAGGCGCTGTTATTGTTGGCAAAATTCGCACACCTGGACAACTTATAAAATTGGTAAGATATTATTTTTTCATATTTCATATGAAAACAAAATGCAATTTTTTCCTTTCAAATCAATTTAAAGTTTTGTTTCGAAAGTCCAATATTTATGTCTAAGTAGTTGAAGATTAAACATATAATAATATGTAGGATACATGGACCATAATCATTGTTAAAATTACTTCAAAAACCTTCAAAATGAGTGTGAAAAGCCCAATTTAGACCGGAAATTTTGAACGTTTAATTTATTATGGGGGCTGTCTCCAAAAACATGTTCAATTTCATTAATTACAGGCCCCACGAACAATAATGGTGGCATCCCTTGACATTGGTACCGCGTATTCAGGTTGTTCCTACTCGTACTTCGAAGAATTCAAAACAAATCGGACGAAAATATATGCACGCAGCTGGAATTCAGGTTCAATACAGACAGCTAAAACTCCAACATGCGTACTAGTAAAACCCGACGGCAAAACGGTGGAGGCTTTTGGCTATGAAGCTGAAAACAGATATAGGGAATTAATAGAAGATAATATGCATACGTCTTACTATTTCTTTCGTCAATTCAAAATGATGTTATACAGAAAACTAAGCGAGGTATGTAAAAGTACTAGCTCTGACAGCAGCTGTTTGTACCCTAAATATTTCATATACACTTCTTATTGTTGATTTGTATTCTATTTGATATTGTTCATTTACTTTGGAAATAAAATGATAAACTCACTGTTTTAATCGATGCAGAAAATCAACAGAAACCTTATGCTGAAAGATGAAATGGGCCGATCACTTCCTGCTATTGATGTATTTGCGATGAGTATTCGATTCCTAAAAGACGATGTGCTAGAAAACTGCAACAAAGGACGTGCTGGTATTAAGATTGTTACACAGGACGTTCAATGGGTGTTAACAGTGCCTGCGATTTGGAATGATGGCGCAAAACAATTCATGCGGGAATCAGCTTTGAAGGTAAGGACATGCATATTGAGAAAATTTACAATTTATTTCAATCAAACATTTATATTGCAAAATGATTCTGTTTTGATATTTCTTTAAAAAACTGTTTTCGCGCTGTATTTACATAAATGGATATACTCAATTCGACAAGAGGAGAGCTATTTTTTATGCCTTTTCCCTTTCATATATATTCATTTATGGGCGGTAATGACCTTATAAAGTAATAGAATTAATGTGGTTATCATAAAAAATATCTATGATGAGAAAAACATAGTGCCATCGATGAAAGTAATCTGATTAGCTCGCCGCTTTGACGTTTTTATCTTAGTTTAAAATAACTTAATTATAAAAGGCCAATTTGCACAAAGAAACGGTTGGTGTAATGTAGTTGGTTCATCTGAAAAAAGGAGAGCTTAGTCGAAATAAAATCTGACAGAGTGAAACGCATATTTAAGTTTGTCGTAATTGGGCAATTGCAGTATCAATTTATAATTTTGGGCGCTCCACTTTCCTCAGTGATAGATGAACGCCGCCTTTCCTTGTTGATCTTGTTTATCATATTTGATATCTGCTCTTTTGACATGGTGTTATGTTTTGATACTTAACGTGTATATCAAGTTTAAAGTGAATTTCATTGTTTGTTTCTGAGATAATTGACCTTAACAGAAAGGTTAACCATGGCTAAAAATGGAAGTAGATCAAGAGGGTTATTATGCTAACTTGACTGAAGTATACGACGCTGGCTATGGAATGTCAATGGTTGAAATGAAAATTATTTGTTGCAATGGAAAGTCAGGTTTTGCTACAGAAGTGACTGGTTTGTTTCTATGGAAAGTCAATAATACATTGAAATTCAATTATTGCTATGGATGTCACCCTATACTATTTACAATCACTGTTTGCTATTGAACGTAATCAGTTTTTATGGAAGTTACTATTTGCTATGTCAATGGTTTCTATGGAAGCTACTTATTGCTTTTGAACGATTGCTTTGGAAGTCACTTTTTGCTAAGGTACTAAATAGTTGCTATGGATATCACTGGTGGCTGAAAAAATCATGGTTTGCTATGTGGAAATTTTAAATCAGTGTGATAGAAAATATATTTCATTATAAAATTTGTATATATAATTTGGTGAGAAAAAAGGTTAATATTGGGACCATGTGACCATAAAGCGAAAATGTCTAAACCTTGAGAAGAAAAACATCAAACACAAGTAAAAAGGCGGGAAAGTAAACAAAGGCAAAACATGGACAAGGAAAAAGGACAAATGCTTAGTACTGACTCATCGTTTAAACAAACACAATCTCATACCCCTCAATTGCAGATTTGATCGAACTTTGGATACACAACCCCCCCCCTCCTATGAATATTAGCGCAAGCCCCTACCCAATTATGGGGCAAATTGGTGCATGTAACTTATCTAATTTCATTTGACCGCCTCGACAGACTCATCCGGTGAGACAATGATCATGAAACGGTTGGATAGTATGGACAATAAATTTTCCAGATTAGATTGTAGTGTTGTAAACTTCAATGTATTGTTGACAGCACAAACATGCGTATCCAAACAATGGAATGAAAGGTCAGTGAACCCGATAATAAAGTAAATGCTTTAGAGCGTACCGCGGCTTCAAAATGCTTCTAAATTCAAAATTTCACCCTTTTGTGTTTATATGTTGAATTCTGCTGAAGCCGGTGCTAGAGGGCGTGAATGATAGCCTGCACTTTCCAGTACCGTCTATGAACAGGCTCAATCAAACCCAGCCTGCAACATTTTACAATTTTGCCGTGTTGGCCTTTCTTTAGGGATTCTGTTTTTCTCTATTTCAAGTCAAAGATTGTTGGCGATGAATAAACACCACAAAGAGTTAGATAGTTTTGCCAATAAAATGTCGAAAATAAAAGCTTAGAAATTGCATTGAATACAGAAATACAAGATTTGAAATCATTATTCGTACTCTGTAGGATAATTTATTGTTTCACAAAATACAAAACACAACAGATTGTCGCTAAATTCAGGACTTCCCTGATCGTGATCGGGTTCGACAAGCTGCCCAGGAACTGAAGGGATCTGTGGTAATCAGAACAGTACCAGAAAGAAGTAGTAGATCAGTGCTGAAAGTTAATCCCTGTCATATAACAAGCCAGCAGAAATGGAAAGAATTACATTAAGATGGATAAGCTTTACATTAGTAATCAGCTTTAAAGAGAGTCGTGTTAGGAACCAAGTGGGAATGTTTTACAATGTTTATCATGGAACATAGAAGGACTTATATGCGGAACAAAAAAACAATGCAAGGATTTTTCAGAAATATTATGTAAAAAACATCATTTGTCTAATTGAATCATGGTAAAACGAATCGTTAAATACTGAGCTTAAAAGGTATTCAAACCCAATACTTTAATATTGTACATATCAGCACCGTAGGTCAAAGCGGTCAAGTGTCAGACTTGTGGTTTATATAAAAGACACTATAAGGCAAGAAATAAAAAATTGTTTAAATACTACAGACTGTATAATTTGGTTAAAAAAAGATAGAACAGTTTTTAATATTAGAACAGACAGAACAGAATTGTTTAATATTTGAGATGATATATTTGTTTTACCTACATCGCACCTGAAACTTCCCCTGTGCATAACGTTTACATAGATAGTTTTTTTTTATATAATATTGAAATATATTATTCCGAGTGAACACCAGATGCAATATTCTAAAGGAGTGGCGTGGGCATGAGTGAACATAGAACAGCTGTGTTCACGAATGAAATATATTTCAATGATTATATCTTTAACAAATATTTTTTTCCATTTCATGCTTTTCGTGATTTTAAGAATTTATTTACTGGGTTTACCGCTTAACGTTCGCGCATTCACATCATGGTGTCACATCATCAGTTTTGAAAAATATAGTTCTGTTAAATTTCTCTAATTTTGTTACATTTTAACATGATTTATGATGACATCGACTTTTTTTCCAAAGAAGAAAACTTACGTATGACGGCATTTATACCTGTTATTCCATTTAGTTCTGATATTCTTTGCATCCGCTTTTAGATAAAGTCCGGCTACAGTGAAAATTTTATTTGATACATTTCACTATCAGAATATAATCATCTGATATTTTCAGTAAACAAGAACCCGGTTTGAGTGAAGTGATGCTCCCCGAATAGGTTTTGGATAGAGGAAAGTACACCTCTTGAAGTTTCAGAGTTATGTCCCTTGAAAAGGTTCAAAGTGCAATGATTTCAACATTAGGCAAGGCAAAGTAACTGTTCTTTGCACTTCACTTTTAATCAATGCCATCTATCAACCTACAAAGTTTCATGTTGATACCTCTTATGGTTTCTGAGTTATGATCGGGACAAAGTTCAAAATGTAAAAATGATCAAAGTGCAATAACTACAAAATTTGGCAAGGCGGAGTTCAAGTTCTTAAGCACTGCACATCTACCCATTGAGATCTATCTACCTACAAAGTTTCATGTTGATATCTCTTATGGTTTAAGAGTTATGTCCCGGACAAGATTTTTCTAAAAGGAACCGGGCAAAATAGACTTATGGTTCTTAAACATTGCACATCTACCCATTGAGATCTTTTTACCTACAATGTTTCATGTTGATATCTCTTATAGTTTTAGAGTTATATTCCGGACAAAGTTCAAAGTGTTAAAATTAACAAAGGGAAATAACTCCAAAAATTAGGCAAAAAAGAGTTATGGTTCTTTTGCATTGCACATCTACCCATTGAGATCTTTTTACCTACAAAGTTTCATGTTGATATCCCTTATAGTTTGAGAGTTATGTCCCGGACAAGATTTTTCAAAAAGGGGAGATAATTTAAAAACCGGGCAAAATAAAGTAATGGTTCTTTGACACTGCACTCCCCCTAAATAAGATCTAGCTACCTACAATGTTTCATGTTGATATCTCTTACAATTTTAGTAGTTTTAGAGTTATGTTCCGAACAAAGTTCAAAGCGTTAAAATTAACAAAGGGCAATAACTCCAAAATTAGACAAAAAAGGGTTATGGTTCTTATGCACTGCACATCTACCCATTGAGATCTATTTACCTACAAAGTTTAATGTTGATATCTCTTATAGTTTTAGAGTTATGTCCAGAACAAGATTTTTCTAACAGGGGGGATAATTCAAAAACCGGGAAAAATAGAGTTATGGTTCTTTGACACTGCACTCCCCCTCAATGCCCTCTACCACTGTATGAAGTTTAAACAAATTATCTCCGAGGGTTTTCAAGTTATGCACCGGACAAGACAACGGACGGACAAACGGACAATGTGACGACTATATGCTCTCCCATCGGGGAGCATAAAAAATGGAAAGCATGATATAACATATTGATATTTTTATGTCACCGCAGCATCTGCGATACTGTGGCATATAACGATTGACCTGTGTGTAAGTGTGTGTGTGTGTGTGTGTGTGTGTGCGTGTGTGTGTGCGCGTGTGTGTGTTATATAGATTATTTAGTGACCTTAAAATATCTTATTGTGAAAAACCACTGGTCAAATTTCAACCAAACTTAGCAGGATTGATCCTTGGGTGAAGGGCTTCCAAAGTTCCATGCAGAAATCTGGTTGCCATGGCAACCAAAAGAAATATTAAGAATAATTTAAAAAAAAAATCTTTTTGTAAAGACCAACAAGGCCTAGAGCGTAGATATTTTGCATAAGGCACTGCCTGGTAGACCTCTACCAAGATTGTTCAAATTATAGCCCTGGGGTCAAAATTGGCCCAGCCCCAGGGCTCATTTATTTTCACTATATGTACATATAGTAAAATCTTAAAACACATTCTCGTCTGAAGGTACAAGGCTTAGAGCTTTGATATTTGGTATATGATATCATCTATAGGTACTCTACCAAAGTTGTTAAAAATTTGCCTCTAGCGTCAAAATGAGCCCCGTTCCGGGGGTCATAGGTTTTCCTTTTAAGTATATACATATAGTAAAAACTTAAAAAATCATCTTCTTGAAATTGACAAAGGCTAGA